AATCTTTACATTTTAAATAACTATATATAAGTCCCTGCACAATAGCCTTGATTATATCCTCTCAGATGCAAAAGTCGAAATCACTTAATATCTGGCTCTTTAAAACAACAACAAAAACCTGCTGGCCCCTGGTTTTGCTGTCAGGTCCCTGGGTAGGGGCAATGGGTTGGTTCTGGCTACTCACTGAAAGGCGGCAATTTCAATTCACCTGGGAGTGACGCAGAAGAAAGGCCAGGCGCTCTGCTTAACTCATATCCCCATGGCCTCGGAGCCCATTCCAGCTCGGAGCAGCCGGAGAGAAGGTTTCCCGGATGGTACATCTCTATGGGAGTGCGTCTCTCCGTGCCATCTCAGGCCAGGACTGCCCCGCGAGTTTCAGAGAATGTCACTCTTTACAAGAGTAGAAAGCCCGTCTCTTGCAAAGAGCGCCCGGACCTTGCAGACTGCTGCCCAATGCGTGACCACCAGGCCGCCCAGGCTTCCAGGAGCCCCCAGCCTCATCTTTTTCCCGGTGGGTTTTGAAACACCAGCCTCTCAGGCTAGCAGCCCACAGCCTGCAGCTCAGTGCCACCAGGGCTGGAAGGCCCTTGGGGGTGCAGCTTCCTCTGAGGCCCATGGGGTCACCTTGAGTCAACAGGCTTGTGGCTTGCTGGTTGTTGTTGTGGGTCTTTTTTGTCCATCTCGGCTGGAAGCAAAGGGGCAAGTGTGGGACCTACAGAGGTTTCCAGAGTGTGGGACTGGGTGGGGCCGGTCGGGCTCTAACTCAGGGCACAGCCTAGTGCTCCCCAGCCGCAGAGGCCATCTGCGTTGGTCCCCCATGCGGGCTGAACTCTGCAGATGGGACCACCGGGCTTGGCTTCAGAGCCATGTGGGCAGGGGCAGCCTGTCTGCGAGGGCAGCCCCAGCGGTCCCGCAGGCAGAAGTGCCAGACCAGGGCTGCGCAGCTGAGCAGGGCCAGGCCTGTGCCCACACCCACGGCCGCGTGGAGCAGGCTGCGTGGCCTGGGGGGCATGGTGAAGCGGTCGCAGGGCCCGAAGGGCGGGAAGTCGGGCCCCACCAGGCTCTCCCCGTCGTGGGCCACAGGCAAGGCATTTTTCCCTGCCTGATTGAAGGCCACCACACACACCATGTAAGCACCCCCAGGTGCCAGGTCCCGCAGCTCTGCCTGACGGACCGTATTGTTGAGGGGAGGCCCCATCTGCGGAGCCCCACGGCCTTCCCAAAGCAGCAGCCGGTACTGGTGGACTGGGGAGGCGGGGGCACACCAGTGGACCACGGCGCGACCCTCCTCAGCCACCCTGAACACCTCTCCCAGGCGCGGCGGGTCCGGCGGCTGGTTTGGGCTGGAGAGGCCCGGGCACAGGCAGGCTCGGGGCCCGGCCTTCTGCAGCTCCTTGCAGGGCACCTGCAGGTGGCGGCAGTGGTCATAGTCGCAGAGGACAGGCTTCGAGGGTGACACCCGGGCAGGCCACAGTGTTGGAGTCACTGTCTCGTCTTCCTCCTCGCTCTCAGAGTCTTGAGGAGTCAAGGGCTGAGCTCTGGGGACCAAGGAGCAGGCGACCGCCAGGATCCACAGTTGGTAGGAGGGGCCCGGCATGGCGGCTAGAAAGAAGGAAAGATGCCATGCTGCCGGGCGTGCCGTGCCGTTCAGGCTCACGGAAACGACAACTGAGGGTCGCCGGGAGCCAGAAAGAGGGCGGACAAAGACCCGGATGCACGCTCCTGTCAGCTGTGGACAAAAAAGAAGTGCACACACAGGGCGGATGGACTGACGGACGCGGCAAAGCAAGGAATTCAAGACCAGGGATGCACGCGTGAAGCGGCACCCCCAGTTAATGAGAAGAAGAGGGGGCCACCATTGGACTGAGCTCTGGGTGGAAAGGTGGCATACATCTGTCTCCGTGGCCACCCAGAAAAAAGATCCAAGTAAAACAAACACCAATTGGTGACAGATGCGATACATCCCGGCCAGAAAAGAGGAAAAAAAAAAAGACCAACGTGAGACAGGAGGAAGCGGTGGAACCGGAGGAAACGAGCATGCTGGAAGCCATCCTCCCCACCTGTTATGGGTGCCAATCCTGCCCAAGAGGTCCCGGCCCTCTCTAGCCACCTCCTCCCCCCAGCTCCCGCCTGGCCCGCAGCAGCCCCTCACCAGCGGGCTTGACGTCCTGCGCCGGGCGGCCGAGTGCGTGGGGCTCGGGCAGAAGGGCCCACGGGATCGCAGCTGCACCCTCGGGTTGTGTCTTCAATTTCGGTGCACACTTGCCTAGAAAAGCTTTATACCCGTGAGGTCATCGCCAAGCCCCCTCCCTCTACCCAACTCCCTGGTGAGGGGGGCCGGTCTCTTCCTCGGGCCTGAGTCATGTCACGGGGCCAGGGATCTGGAAGCCACATGTCAGGCCAGGCCTCTTCTGGAGGCTAGGACGCCTGGGTTCTGAAAAGGTGGGGGCGGGCAGAAGGTGGGGGCAGCCAGAGCCAAGTGGGGAATCCTGAGGCTGGAGTCATGGAGAGGGGTGGGGGAGGGAACAGGAGGCCAGTCGGTCGGTCAGGGAGGCTGGGCTGGTAGCGGCAAGGCAGGCAGCTGTGGAAGCCCCGGGGCTCAGGCTACAAAACGCCGTTTCTGTAAAGATCAGACCGCATGTGTGGCTGTCATTTCCTGCCTTCTGCCTCCCAATGGACGGCAGCGAGAGGGAGGGGTGCCCAGGATGGATTTCAGCCCTCCATCGGCCCCTGTGCAGTCCCCTGCCCAGAGAGCGAGGGGGGTCTTGTGGAAGGCCAGAAGCCTGCCAGGGGTGGTCAGGACAGGCTCTCTCCTGGGGCTGCACGAGTGCCCTGTGCCTAAAACGGCCCGGGTTTGGGAGGCCTTTCCCCCTCAGTGGCCCCAGAGAACCTGCTTCCGAGGGGCTGGAGAGCACAGGCTTTCCCACATCACAGCCCTGAACGCACCACAGGCAGAGTAAGGAAATAGTTTATTGGGTAGAAGAAAGTGCTGGAATGTGAGGCATCTGCACGCTTCTCTTCAAGAGCTGGAGCAGGTGGAGCGCTGGCGGAGCATGACCCCCGGGGGCTCGGAGCTGCCCAGGGTCTCGGGGGCAGGCGGAGGGGCGGGGGCGGACGCCTGGGCAGGCAGGTTGACGTCCATTAGCAGGGCCGCATCTTCCCAGGAGCCTGAATCACAGACAAGAGAGAGTGGGGTGGGGGTGGGGGCACAACATGTCCATCCCCAGGCCCCCAGGGCTGCAGGGTGGGAGCCCTCACCATCACTGGGCTCCTGCTCCAGCTCAGCCTCTCCTCTCGGGGGCTGCTGCTCTGGCTCGTCCTCCGGGGACAGCCGACCCCCTGCAGGCACACAAGGCTAGGATGTCACACCCAGAGAGGCCCCCCGGCAGCGCTAAGGGGCTTGGGCGGAAGGGTCTCAGCAGCGGCATCTTACCTGGGCTTGCGGGGTCCTCAGCACACTCCCCATCCTCTGTGCCCTCGGACTGAGCCAGTGCCTCCTGGCCTGGGGGCTCCGCACCTGCCAGGCAGACCGAGGGCAGCCGAGAGCTAGGGTGGCAGTGCTGCCCACCTGCTCCCCTCCCGCCTTTCCTTCAGCCTCAGCTTCCTTGGCCCCGCCCGCCTTCCCCAGCACCATCACCCTTACCTGGCTGCCGATTGGAGGAGGCCCTCTGCCCCTTCCTGGGATTGTCTCTTTTCCGGATATTAACCTGCGGAAGAGACACCAGAGAACAGCTAGGACGGATGGACTCCCTCTCAGTGACCCCTGCCCTGGTCCCCAGCCCCCCACCCCACCCCCGCCCACTTCACAGGGGCGCGACCTGCAGGGAGAGGCGGTGTCGGGGCCAGATGCCGCCCCACACCCACCGCATGTAGCTGAAGAGTACGATGACACTCAGGAAGGTGAAGTTGCTGGCCACGCCGACGAAGGCGCAGGTCATCGGGAAGTTGTACAGCAGGTACCTGGGGCCGGAGGGAGGACAAGGAGGGAGTTGGCAGGGACGGCGGCTACCAGCCTTCTCACGGGCAAGTCGCCTCCCTGCTGCCTTCCACCCGTTATCAGAACCCGGAGGTGGGGCTGCTGGGCTGAGCTCACTCAAAACCTCCCTGCCGTCGGGTGATGCCGACTCAGAGACCCCCCCGACGGTGAACTCTTTACACTACAGAGAGTACAAAGCCCCATCTTTCTCCCGAAGAGGCTGGTGGCGTCGAACTGCTGACCTGGCAGATCGCAGCCCAACTCGCTGCGCGGGGTGCTAATAAAACAAGGAGGCACAGGCCCGCTGGGCACCGCAGAGCCCTGCAGCAGCCTCCACCGCGGCTGTCCAGAGCCATCCTGAGCCCTGGGGGCCTAGTCATTCAGAAGAGTCCTTGCCACAATGGTGGCCGGCACACAGCGTCAGACCAGGGCAGCCTGCTGCCGAGACACGGGATCTGACAGGACCTGGCTCAGCGGGCCCACGGTGGGGGCCAGGGAGCAGCTTTTTTCTTTTTTTCTAGTATTGTGGTTTTGGAAATGTTTTACGTCGACCAGGTTCTCACTGAACACTTTCCACATGAGGCGGATCTGTCTCGCAAGATGTATAGCCAGGAAGCTCCTTAGAGGTAGGGCTGGGGGGCTGCGTCTCACCTGCTTCGAGCACGTGAGAAGGACATCATGCTTCGTAGAGAGGGGCAGGAGTCCACAGTAGGAGAGCCTCCACTTTGGTTACATTAGAGGTAAGGTTCGGGTACCTGATCCTGCTTTAAAGATCATTCCCACAGATTGTCCCCTCACAGCTGTGCTGCCTTCAAGTGAGCACCTGGGGGATTCGATCTCCCTTTAGAAGCAGACATGGTCCTTTTGCTCTCTCGTCCCGCGTGACACCCAGTCCCCCTTAAGCCTTTCCCCAAAGCAGGCATTAGGTGTCCTCACCTGTGAGCTCAGGGACCCTTAATGTAGACAATGCCCACCTTGTGACATATGTAACTACGGAAAATGCATGTCTTAAGGCTACCTAAAAAGATCCCAAGACAGTAAACGCTCTCTCACTTCCCCCAGTTCCGCGTGGTCCATCAAGAGGAGGTGGGCTGAGCACGCTACCGTACAAGGTGTCTGGCTCCTTTACTGCATTCTCTCTTCTGTCCTTCTTGTCCCCTAGGACTTCACGGTCATCTTCCTGTCTCATCACCGTACATTTGCGCCTTCTGGCCCGTCCCTTGTCGGAGGCTGTTCCCCCAGACGGTTACGGTATTTAGAAACACGAGCTGTGCTTTCTCCGATTTCCATCCTGGTTGGTCTGTTTCCACTCACCTGGCTCCTTGCCCCCCTACCGCCTTCTCGTCCTCGGGCTGGGGCTCATGCAGACGCTTGCTTTGCGCACAGGGACACAGGAGGTGTTCTGTGCCACGCTGTCTGGTGGCTGCGAGGGGTCCTGCAGGAGTGGTCTGTGCTCCCAGGTTTCAGAGGACCCCGGGGTGGCAGGCTCCACCGGTCCAGTCAGTTGGGCTTGTTTACGAGGGTGACATGTATCCTGCAGTTCCTCCTCCTCCTCCTCCTCGAACCCAGGCCTCCAGGAGCCCAGGGGCACTGGGGACCACGCACGCGCTGGGCTGCTAACCACAAGATGTGGCCGAACCCGCCCGCTCCCTTAGAGATTTCAAACTCAAACTATCCATCGCGGCGATTCTGACTCACAGGGACCACACAGGACCGAGGAGAACTGCCCCTGTGGGTGTCTGATTGGCTTTGAATTGGAACTGACCGGATGGCAGTGGGTTTGGGTGGCATCTAGGCCTAAGTGTGTCTTGGCAGCTCATCATGACGGGGTGTCAAACATGATGCTGCCCAATCACACCTGCCACCTCTTCCCTCGTCATCTGCGGCGCCGCCCCCCACCCCGCCTTGCTCACCTGAGCCCTGTGAAGTGAGCATGGATGCGGAGGTAGGCGCCGTACATCTGGATGCGCTTGCTGTGGACCTCGATCAACACGCCAGTGGTGGGCACGTACTGCGAGAAGGGGCATGGGGCAGCCTCAGGCCCAGCTGCTCCCCTCTGGTGCTGCCCCTCCCTCCGGCACCCCGAGGTGCCCCCACCCATCTCACCGAGTTCTCCCTGTAGTCGGCGTAGAGCTCCACGTCCAGGAGCTGCTTCTGCTCGGCAAAGCCCAGCAGCAGCAAGCTGGAGAAGACCAGCGTGTCGAGCGTCTGCAGCAGGTCTGAGCGGTAATGCAGCATCACCTGCCAGGCCCCGGAGCGAGGCGTTGAGGACAGGTACCCCAAGGTCCCTCCCCCTACCCTGGGCAGTCGGCCAGGGCTGCTCCCGTGCACGCTACCTTCCCTGCCAGCCCAGTGTCCAGTCCCTCCTTCCAATGCCTCAGGAGCCTCCCTTCCGGCCGAGAACAGAGCGCTCCATTCCAAGGCGGCACAGAGAAAGCTCCCTAGGCTGCGCAAGGCCTGGCTCTGCTCTTGCATCCCCCGGACGCCCTCGCTCCCCAACACTTCCTTCAGCCGAGGATGGACTCTCCCTCCCTCGCATCATCCTGACGTCTTGTGCTTCCATCTTGTCGTCAGGGACGGCCGGACAACGTGCTTCCGTGGACCATTCACCGGAGGATGGAGTCTGACCCGAAAAACCCACCACGAGCTCAGTGGTCAGAGCGCTGGGCCGCCCACCCTAAAGGTAAACCGTTCAAGTCTCCCGTAGCCACTCCACGTGAGCACGAGGTGGCCGTCTGCGTCCATAAAGACGACGTGCTGGAGACCCTGGAGGGCAGTTCTCCGCCGTCCTGCAGGGCCGATGAGTCAAGATCGACTGGCCCAGGGTGGGCACGTGTCAGCAAGCATTTCACTTCACCCCATGGGGTCCAAACTAGTCTCGCTACCATCTTTTTGGGATACGTCCCTGAGCAGCTTGGCTGGCTGAGCCAGGGCTCACCCCAGGGCTGTCAGAGAACAGCGTGTCTCTGCAAACTGTGTCTGGAGGCTGGCGCCCCCCTCTGCTAGCTGAGGTGCCTGGCATGTGAGGCCGGCTTGGGAAGGACTGTCTCCCTAATGATAACACATGTGTGACCTCAGCGGCCCAGGATGTTTCCCCGAGCCCTGACCTGAGGCAGGGGCTCTGCCGTCTGCCCGCATCTTTCTGCAACCCCCCCTGCCCTCACCCCGCCCCCCACACTTACGGAGCGGGAAGAAGTCGAGATGACGCGGCCGCCTCGGGTGTAGCATGAAATGGTGACCAAGAACATGCCCAGGTCCTGATTCACCGGGGACTCTGGCAGGTCCAGTTCCAGGGTAATCCGATAGGGCTGCCCATACATCAGCACCTGCCAAGGGAGCCCGCACCGCTCATCATCTGAGAACTGCACCGGCTGCAGGCCTGTCCATCACCCAGGGCTGCCGCCCCAGCAACCCCCCCTGAGACCCTGACCGGCCTGGCCATCTCTGCCAAGGAAGGTGCTGCCCCCTCCTGGTGTGCCGGTGCCACGTCCTCCTCAGGCCTCCAGTCCACACCCGCCGCCCCCCTCCCCGCCCACTTCAGATCTAAAATGTCAGGGGTGGGGAGGAGCTGTGCCAAGGTCAAAGCGGTCCCTTCCTCAAGGAGGGAGCCTTAGGTCCGACCTGTCTCAGGATGGTAAGTAATTTGGAGATGACCTCAAGCCCACCGCAGGGTGTGATTTGCAAAGACCACCTCCTTTGAGAGTGTCTGTTGATCTCACTCTGTGTGGGGTGCCCCCCCCCCGCCCCCCTCCATTCTGAGGGACAGCTCTGCTCTGGGAACGGCCGTGGCCTGTCTCCCTTTCTCAAATGTGAACCGTGGTCATGTTGCCAACTGGGCCATCAGTGACTCAGACAGCGTGAGGGCGAAGCCGTCCCCTGGAGCCCAGCCTGGCCTCGCTGAGGCTGTTAATTAACACCGTCTTCCCAGCTGGCTCTGGGCGGCTCTCACACAGTCATGGTCACCTGAGTCCCTCCTTAGAATCCCGAGGCTCTGCTGGAAGCCTTCTCTGGGGTCCCCCTCAAAAAGGTGGCGGACGTGCCGCCAGACGCCTCCTAGTTTCCTCTGTTCCTTTCGCCTCTTCCCCCACCCAGTCTGGTCCTGCAGCCTGACCCTAAGGGGCAACACGAGAACCCGGGTGGTGGTGGTGGTGGTGGCAGAGCGTTTGCTTTTCACCAGCGAGGAGGGGGTTAAACGAAACGCTGTGAGATAGCGCCCTCGCCCAGAGCCAGCCTGCTCCCGGGGGGTCAGGAGAGCCTGGGCATGGCTGATCTCGAGGGCAGAGGCGCCAGACCACCCGGTGACGGTGACGCCGCTCCTGATGGCAGGCTCATTCTGACCGAACCCCTCTGAGCAGCCGGGATTCCGTGAGGCGGTGGTAGAGGCCCCGCGGCTCCAGGGCAGCTGTGCCACTACGCTCTTGCAGATATGAACGCAGGTCATTCTCTAGGCAGGAATCAGGGGTGGGGCAATGGGGGGGTGACTGGTCACGAGGACACGCTTTCTTCTGGGGGTGATGAGAAGTTCTCAAGTTCACGGTGGGGATGGTCGCACACCCTGTGACAATGCTAAAAACGACTCCCAGTGGGCGACAGCTGAACCGCTCTGTGTGTTCTACATCCTAGCAGCGTGCCTCTCTCTCTGCCCACTGTGGTCAGTCTGCGAGCTGCTGTGATGCTGGGCGCTGTGCCACTGGTGTTTCCAACGCCAGCCGGGTCACCCACATAGACAGGCTTCAGGGGAGCTTCCAAGTCAAGGCAGACTAGGAAGGAGAGGTGGTGCATTGCTCGTGGGAAACAAAACAAAAGATTATGAGGAGCAGCAGAACACTGGAAGTGAGAGCTGAAGACAACAAACAGACGGGGAAGAGCTGCCTCCTCCAGGAGCGGGCCGCAGTGATGGAGGGACCTTCATCTGCTAATAGGGCATGGCTTGTTAGTATTCGTCTTTTAATAAGGCCGCTGTCTAGTTAGGGAAATAGGGAAATCAGCTCATGGGGGGGCCTTCACAGGATCTAATGCCGGATCTTCTCTGAGCCTCCTTCCCACGCAACACTCACCCTTCCTGAACACACTCCCTTCGCAGGCCCCCCCTCCCCATGGAGGCCCACTATCTCAGCCAGCACTGGCCTCTCTCGTCCTCCACAAATTCCTCTGGAATGCAGAATCTGCTTTTTACCACCTACTCAAACCCAAAACTCAAACGCACAGCCCTTGGGTTGATTCCAACTCACCGTGACCCTGGAGGGCAGAGGGGAACGGCCCGGGGGTTCCAAGACTAACTCTTTACAGGGGTAGAAACCCTCCAGTCTCCCTTGGAGCGGCTGGTGGGGTGGAACTGCCGACCTTGTGATTAGCAGCCCAACGAGTAACCACTCTGCCACCAGAGCACACAGTGCACCAACCTCTAGCCAATCTGAGAGCTGGGACCACGACTTCCACTTCCACACGGATGTGCTGCTTTATTCATTCAAGGTGTTCATGGCCTCAGCCTGCAAGACTTTTCAGGGCCCGGGATGGGCCTCCTCTCCCTGGAACCTCAGGCTCAGGGCTCCCTCCCTTGGCTCACTTATCGCCACGCACGACAATGGGCAGCACCCCTCCCCACCCCACCCCGATACAGATGCCCTGGGGCTGTATTCCCAAGCCCCTCTCCCCATAGAGCCCGTCTGTCACTATGATTACCCTTACTAGGTTATGACTGAGTCACAAGATGCACGCTGGACCAATGTCTTCGGGAACAGTTTATTCAAAACGCCAAGTTCCAGCACCGCAATGACAAATCTGTGTCTTGGCGTGCCCAACAGGCCACTCTGCTACCCAGAACGCTGCCATTTGGGGCCCCATCATCCACCCTGGTGAGGTTTTTCTTGATAGCGTGTGACTCCCTGGTGGTAAAGAGAAGGACCTCACAGGGTACACGGTCACCCTGCGCTTGCAATCTGCGCTTGCTTACAACCTGTATTCGTGAACCACCCCCAGGTAAGAGTCAACCCCTATAAAGCCTATTATGGGATTCAAATCGTGCTGCATATACAATGGTTCATGATAAGAAACGAGCACTACTTTGTAAAGCACGTTAAAACATTAGTGTATGAAATCCAGGATAGGAAATCTATAGAGAGATAGTAACTGGATTAATGGTTCCTTGGGAATATTTCATAGGAGTTTGGGAGAGGTGGGGAATGGGGAGCTGATAACGGTAAGTATAAAAATGACCTCCCCCCTCCCACAGAGGGGGGCAAATAACAGAAACATGGATAAAGGGAGACACCAGACAGTATAAGATACGAAAATAATCATAGTTTATAATTTATCAAGGGGTCACAAAGGTGGGAGGGGAAGGGAAGGAGGGGAAAAAGGGGCTGATACCAAGGGCTCATGTGGGAAACAGAAAAATCTCCCACAAGTTGTCTCCCTCAAATATATGCCAAAGTTAGCTGCTTGCTACACCTGGTAAATGACTACACTTGGAGGTCAACAAAAAGTAGGTCAGGTTATTCTCCCGCAGGGTTATCAGCCATCCAGAGCAAGCAGTCACCACTGTTTATCCCACAATAAGTGGGGCGCACTCCCATCTGATAAGGATAGTAGTAAATGGTGTCCCTGAAGGAGAGCCCAGGGAGGTCAAGCCCACTCAAGGGTGGCCAAGGTTAGGCTGCCATATTGAGTCTAGTATCGCCCTTCTTGTCACCTGTATACCCTTAGTCCCTCCCCTTCCTACTGTGTGCATACCCCTAACTCATCCCCTTCCTGTCACGCTAATAACCGTTGCATATCCCCCTCCTATTGCTTGTATTGCCTATTGTACAGCCCCTTCCTGTGACGTGTGGTTACCTGGAATCAACGGCCCCTAAGTAGATATAAACCTCGGTTAGCAATAAATCGCCCCACCTCGCTCCTTCGCTCTCCTGCTCTCGGACCACGCCGTGCACAGACCTGGCTGGTAAGATCATGGCCATCCAGGAGGTGAGCATGCTACCATGAAATGTGTCTGACTCCATTACTTCTATCTCTCCTTATCCTCTATGATTTTATTATAATCTTTATATAGCTCAACCGTACAATTGCACCTATTGAACCCGAGATTAGTTGTGGGGGGCTGGCCTTTCCCTCACAGCTCAAGTAGAAAGAAAATGTTTTCAAAATGATGGCAACATATGTACAAATGTGCTTGATACAATTGACAGACTGCTATAAGGGCCGCAAAAGCCCCCAATAAAGTGATTCATTAAAAATAAAGAATGAAAAAAAAAAAAAGAATGAAGAAAATGTTCTAAAATGCACGATGGTGATGACTACAGCTTTTTAAAAAAATCATTTTATTGGGGGCTCGTACAACTCTTATCACAATCTATCCATCAGTTGAATCAGGCATGTTTGTACGTATGTTGCCCTCATTCTCTCCTAGACATTGACTTTCTATTGA